GGCGTCGGGGGCGGCTCCGCGCCCCGAGGCGCCTCCGCGGTGCGGGCGAGGAGCGCGAGCGGCGGTTGCGGCGCCCGGGACGCGGCCATGGAGGGAGTCGGCGCGCTGCTGGCCGGCTGCCCGAGCGCCGGCCTGGCGGGGGGCCTGGGGGTGACCGTCTGCGCCGCCGCCGGGGGAGTGCTGCTGTACAGGATCGTGCGGAGGTAAGCGCGCCGAAACGCCGCGGGCCCGCGCCCCGCTCCCCGCTCCCGCTCCCGGTCCGAGCACGAGGCCGCCGCCGGCCCTCCATGAGGCCGGGCACGGCGCGGAGGCGAGGCCCGGGTGCCGCGGGGCGGGGCGGCCGCCTTTTCTGGCCTTGGCCCGCCCTTGGGGGAAGCGGAGGGAGGAGCGGGGCTTCCCGGCCACCTCCCGGGAGGGTCCCCGCCGCCCGCTTTTGTTCGGTGGCGGGCGAGGAGCAAAGTGGCGACAAAGCCCGACAAAGCGCCTTGGGAGGCGCTCGGGCAGCCTTCCCCAAACGGAATCTCCCCGGGGCATTCCGGGAATTGTAGTCTCGGCAGGGCCCCCGCTTGGGGAGCCGGCTCCGAGGAGTAACCGTATTTTCGCCTCCGATTGTTACCGTCCCCGTCGTGAGACGGGCAAAGAAACAGGGAGGCTTTCCGGGTTGCCGACAGCAGGAATTGCGGGAGAGGGAGAGAGAACTGGACTCAGAAAGACAGTAAATGCAGCAAGACATTCGTGTGCGCCGTTTCTTGCCCTCCAACTACCCCCGACCCTCCTTGCTGGATCAGAAAACCCTCGTGTAAAGGGGTTGTGAGATGCGCGTGTTTCGGAGTGGCCGCAACCCAGCATGGCTCGCTTCGTATCTTGTGCAAACCCAGTTGTTGGGGGTTACAGTGCAACACACGGGGAGGGCGCTCCGGTTTGGCCTTGCTAACCCATGAACTATTTATAGCGGTCCATGTACAAATGAAATAGGGGATTTCATCTCTATGCAAGCAGACAAGCCAAATGAGGCAAAAGAGGATTTTCAAGATACAGCATTCTTGTTTTTCGTATGATACTGCATTTATATTGCGCTTTCCCCCTTTTGATTTATCTGATACTTTTGCCGGGCTTTTCCCTTTCATTGAAAGAAACAGGAGTGTGTGGACTCGATCTGGATTGAAATTCCCACTTGGATCCACTCGTCCCAGGCTATTATATGAGGAGTTGCACAACAGAGGTGCCCAATCCCGAGGGGCCAAATCCAGGGATCGCCACATACACCCCTCCTTTTCCCTTCCCACCAATTGCTTGGTGGATTCCCAGTCTCTGTGCCTGTTTTTCATGCATTTGTAAAAGTTAAATTGCCTGTCCTAAGACTGAATTGCTGGCAATGAGCTCTCTGAGCTAAGCTAGGCTGTCTTACTGGTCTCCCCGCTTTTGGTTCATGGAAAACTGATTGAGAAGAACTGTTCCTGGCACTGGCTTTTGAGGGATTTATCCACAGACTTAGATTTAAGGCCTTTGCAACCCGGGCCGCGTTACCAAACAAGGTAGCAAGGCCTAGAGAGATTTTCATTGTACAATTTCCTAATTTTTCTCTTCAAATTTAAAGGGGCCTTCTTAAAAGCCTGGCTTAGGACTGTGATATCCTCAGCATTTTTTTCTGTGGCAACTTAGCTGGAATCATTTACATGCCTGATAAATAGAGCAATTTTTAAAAGCTTTGTGTGATGTGCCGAGACCACACAGCACCCGAGAGACAGCAGTCTAGTGAATTCTGGATGTTAAGGATGCCCATAGAGTTTCCTGGAGGAAGCTAAAAATCCACATTTTATTCACTTATTTAAATTGGGTCCCCCTTTGCTCCATGTAGTTCAAGCTGACTTACCAAAACAGCATAACATGTATTAGCATTGTTGTGTTTTCCTCATCTATACCCTTATGAAAATTTGACTCACCGGCAGCAGGAAAAAGTCAGAGTTTGGACAAAGAATGAGTGTTTGCAGAAAGAGTGCTGTCTTTTTATGTGGCCTTCTTTAATGTCACTACTTTGGAGCAGAACCTTTTCAGTGGTGGCACCATATTTGCGGAATACTCTCCCCAGAAAACTGGACTGGTGCTCTTGAGCGCCAGCAGATTACCTTTCTATTCCCCATTCCTCCAGCTTTTTCGTCCTTCAGGTTCAAAAGTGGCAGACATGTTGCTTAGAACTTTTCAGCTCCTGTTGGGTGTTTCAAAGCTAACAAGCTTTACTTCGATTATGTTTTAAACTCTAGAAGTGTTTATGTTGTGTTTTAATAGGTGTTTGCTTTTTACGCTGTTCTGTTGCGTTATGTGTAGCTGTTGTGTGGTTAAAAAAAATGCTCAAAAGCAGGATCCGATGCCCATTGGGAGACCCCGGATGTTTTACTTTCAAGCGATGTTTATTAGGATTGAGCCCTTCATAAAGAAACTCAGGTTTTGGCAATCCCGGTCTATTTGTTTACTCAAACTGCTCTGCCAGCTCCAGGCATCCTGGCTGGGCACATGCATTGCAGCTTGAGCTCCTGCAGGTGGCAGCCCCCTTCACCCCCAGTGGCAACAGCTGGCGCTCCCAACAGCTGTGCTTCAAAAGGGCCCTTGTGAACTCATGCGCTTAGCAGAGAGGAAGCGCAGCGCCGGCCGGAGACAGCTGTGCGCAAGGGCAGAAGGCGTCTAAAGCCCCTCTTCGCCTCTGCCAAGGCCCGGCATCGACCGAGTGGCACATGGCAAGCCACTGAGTCCTTCGGTTGTCCCTGGAGGGGTTTGTGTGGCGAATTCTGTACACTCTCGGTGTAGAGCCGCAACGGCAACCCACACCTGCCGTGGGATTCCCTGCCTCTGGAAGTCAGGCCCCGATCCAGCCCTGCCAGTTGGATGCCTTGAAGACGAGCATTTGACAGTATGGGTGTGACCCATACGAAACCCAGAACCCTGACTAGCTTCAGCTATAGGCAGCGTAGAAATAAAAAACGAATAATATTTCTACACCGGCCAAGTGCCGACGCTCTTTTTACAAGAGGCTCCATCGCGAGAGACCGTCCCTTCGAAGGCCAGGTCGTAATGAACGAACCCTGGAGACGTGCATTCTTCAATCATTCTCCACCCTCTTTCTTATTGCCCAAAATGGCCATCACCCAGCCACCACTCAGCGGGTGTGCGGGTGTTCATTCCAGCACAAGGCAGAGCACCCTTCACAACTGAAGTGCTCTTTTGTGTGCGCCCCACGGCGCGCCCCCCTCCACCATGTCTGTGCCACCTGACACAGCCTGAGACAGCTGCTGAACCGCATCTGTTCTTGCCACTCCACTCGCGAACTTGTGTTTGCTCTTGCTTAGGCCTCTGAGCTGCCTTAAGCACAACGGCGCAGTTGTGCGAATGCCCAAGCGGAATGGCATTCTGGTCCCGAATACTGGGTCTGACAGTAAACCGAAGACGAAGGGAAAAGATACCTGAGAATTGCAAAATGCAACGCAGAGTTAGTGCCATCCACACATTCTCTGCCCGGAGCCCCCACAACCTTACTTGGCTCGCAAAATAAATTCCTTCAGTAAATTACTGCGTTTGTATTTTGGAAAGTGCCAAACTGCTCAAGGAACGTTTCATGTTATATGCATCAGAATCTAAGCTCTTCTCCTATTTTGGATTTTAGGCTGTTTAGCTTTGAGTGTCTAGGTTGTTTTATGGGCCGATCGCATTTCAACAGATAATAATCTGTTCGGTCACAGTGTCCAGTGACGCACCATGTAGCTCAGGAGTCTTTGCAGTGGAGGGGGATAACTTTGAGAGAATTGAGGGATCAACCATGCCAGCTTGCTGATCCGCCAGGATTCTGTGGCTGCTGAGCTGGATCCATGGCGGGCTTTCCTGGAAGGGAAGGGGAGTCTGCACACCACAAGTTTAATAGTTGGGTGAATTCCTTTTTTTTTTTTTTTTTTTAAAACATTTCTATGCCGAAATGTTGGAGAAACATTTCTTGGAAATGTTTCTCCAACATTTCTATTTTTGAGAAACTCTTTGGGGGTTTGCTCTGCATGTGGGAGCCCAAAGGAGTGGATCCAGAAACATGTTTTGATGGTGCCTTTAAGTTCTTTGCTGCCAGTAACTTGAGCTTTTAGGAATGGGGCACATATTACAGAATAGCCCAGAACCCACCAAATACCTGTGCTTGGAGGAAGGGGGTGTGGCCCTCTGGGGACCCCGTGGGTGCCAAGTTTGGTCCCTGGGCCTGGAGTTCTACACCGAAAATCTACCCCATCTTTGGAAGCTCATAGCTCATTCCTCCCTCTCAGCCCTTTGGGGCCCATTTTAGCACTGTTATCTTCCCTCTCTTTCCCCCCCCCCCCCCCCGCTTCTAGGAAGAAACCCACACACATGACTGTGAACTGTTGGTTCTGCAACCAAGACACGATTGTGCCCTATGGGAACCGCAATTGTTGGGACTGCCCCAACTGTGAACAGTACAATGGCTTCCAGGAGGTATGTCTTGAGGCTGCTTCCCACCCCACCCCAGGGATAAAGTTCCATCATGCTGTTAACCACCCTGTCGTTTTCCCTCCCCAGTGTCTGCTAATGGACATCTCATTCCGCTTCCCTCCTCTTCCCCTCTTCCTCTTGTGTCGTCCCTGTTTGGAAGGCATGCTGGACAGGGGGCTCCTAACAGGATAAAAATATTTTGAAGGAAAATGGTTAAAAGGATTTTTAAAGAGGAAAAGCAAGCATGCTCCCGGACCAGTTCTTAAAAGTTGGATTGTACCATGCGCAGGGACCAGCTGGGGTGGGAAGAAAAGACCAGGGGTGTGGGTGCTTTGTGTCCGGTGTCTTTTTTGCAGGGGGCAGGTGCTGCCCATCATGGATGGGGGTGCACAGAGCCCTTTTGCCAATTGGGTGGCTTCCTTCTCTGGTTTTCCGGGCAGAACGGGGATTACAACAAGCCCATCCCGGCTCAGTACCTGGAGCACCTGAACCACGTCGTCTCCAGGGCCAGTGCCTTCTACGACCCGGCCAAGCCACAACAGTGGGTCAGCAGCCAAGTCCTTTTGTGCAAGAAGTGCAACAACCACCAGACCACGAAGATCAAGCAGCTGGCCGCCTTCACCCCCCGGGAGGAGGTAGGGCCCCATCTCGGTGGGGTGGGGGGAGCAGCTCCAGAGCAGTGAGGGCAGGGGTGGGTGGCTGTTCGGCCTGGGGGCCAGATCCCAGCTGGGGGGCTCTCCCAAGGCTGCGCAGGAGTTGGGGGACCCCCAAAGGTTCGGCGATTGGAGGGGGTGGGTGCTAAGGAACTCTAGAGCCCACTTGGGGCTTCATCGCCAAACTCAAAGACGCCGGTGCTTGTGCTTCCATCCCTTTTGCCGCTGGCTTCACCCCGGGTGGGAAATCGTCCCCCAGGGGTTTCTCCAAAGTTCAGCCTGGCCCTCGCGCAGACGGCGTTCCGACGCTCCTGGGCGCGTCGCTTTTGCGGGGTTCTTTCCGTACAGCCCCGCTCAGCCGTGGCTCTCTTGCTCCCTCTGCTGGCAGGGCAAATACGACGACGAAATCGAGGTGTACAGGCACCACCTCGAGCAGACCTACAAGCTGTGCCGCCCGTGCCAAGCCGCGGTGGAGTGCTACATCAAGCACCAGAACCGCCAGCTCCGGGCGCTGCTCCTGCGGCACCACTTCAGCCACCGGAAGGCGGAGAAGGGCTGCATGCAGGTAGGGGGGGCAGCCGCTGGAACTGGGCCAGGAGGGGAAGCCATGGAAGGGAGGGGGACATGCAGCTGCGGGCGGCCAAGAACTGGGAGGGTCTGTTCTGTCGTTCGTTTTTCCTGCCCTCCCTCCTCATCCTCAACAGGGCCTGATGCAGTTCATTGGAATTCAAGAGTGCTTTGTATCCCTTGGGGCAAATTCAGACCCAGCTTTCCCTGGTCCTAGTCCAGCTTTTCTGAGCCTCAGGTGTCTCCTTCCCCCCTTTATTTATTGGTCAGATTCATATTCCAACTTTCCACCTCTTTTGAAAGGAAGCCAAGGGGGGCCATGTAATTCTCCTCGTCTCCATTTCACCCTAAGAAAAACCCCGCAAGATCGGTTAGACTGAGAGTCAGGAACTGGCCCATGGCAAGCCAAGGGGGACTAGAACCTGGATTCCCTGAATCCAGCCCTGCATACTGCTTGAAGTGATTCTCACAACAACCCTGTGAGGGAGGCTGGTCTGGGGATTGGTGGCTGGCACAAAGCCGCCGGGCAAGCTCATGGCCAAGTGGGGTCTCGAACCTGGATCTCCCAAGGCCCGGCCCAGCACGCTAACCGCAATGCCACACTGGCACTCAGTACATACCACAACTCCCATCACCCCCAGCCAGGGATGGTAAGCATAGTCCAGCACACTGGGAGGGCACCTGACTGAGGCAGGCGGCACTCAAACCAAGGACTCCTGGACTCACAAATGTGACATTTCCACATTGGCCTTTTTATTTATTTATTATTTTATTTTATTAAAACATTTTTTATGCCGCCCCATTCGCCGAAGCCTCGGGGCGGCTCACAACAACAACTTGCCATGCAAACTGGGACAGGAATTTGCATGGCACACAGCCCAGCAACAAGCATGGATGCTCTTCATGGGTTGGTTAGTTAGCGCAGCTGGGTGCACACAACACAACCACCCGCACTGATGGAGCGAGCTCCTGTGAGCCAGATTGTGGCTGTCGCAGCCTTAGGGACTGCCACGCGCCCCCGATACCCCGGGAGGCCACCCCACGTCATGCATCCCTGTCCTCCTCTCCCGCAGAGCCTTTACGCCACAGTGTCGGCGTCCGCCACCACGCCAGTCCAGGTCATCGCGCTGCGCGTCTTGGCCTTCCTCAGCTGCGCCGTCCTCGTGGCCGTGGCCTTGTACGGGTCGGACAACCCGTTCTCCCCCAGGCACACAGCCCCTCCGGCTCCATCGAGCCCCCCGCCGGCGAAAAATGGCACCCGGGAGAGACCTGCTGCAGCCACCGACAACGGCACCCTTGACCTCTTCGGCTGGCAGGAGGTGGTCCGGTTGATGCCCGAGCAAACCGTGGAGACGCTGGGAGCCGCCTGGTCGTACGCGAAGGGCCACCAAACAGCAGTGGTCGTCCTCGGGCTTCTGACCTGCTTTCTCGCCATGCTGCTGGCGGGACGGATCAGGTATGCATTTAATTTTGCAAGCACACCCGTCTCTTGCCTCCTCGGCTGAAAAGCCTTTGCGATGCCGTGTGGGAGCACGAAACGACGACAGCACCGAACATTTAAAAAAACAGTTCCAGCGGTAAAACATTGCGCGCAGTCACATATTTCGGCCACATGTGTAGGATTTCTTTTCTCTCTGAGCGTGTTGGGAGTTAGAGGATGCTTTGGGGGCAGGCTGAGAGTTGAGGGGCTCCTGTTCGTCTGTGGCTCGGATCGCGGCCTAAATGCGCCCTTGAAAAGGAGCATCTTTACCCTCTTTCTGAAGGCCCAGGTCGCAGGGACTGGTTGCTTTTCTCTCAGACTCCCAGTCCATAGTTTGGGGGCAGCGCAGGAGAAGACGGTGCGGATTCTTTACCACTTGCTTGCCACCCTTTCAAACCAAAGATGGTGGAGCCTTTCGTAGCCTGCAGGGCCAAGTTCCATTTCGGGGAAGATCTTGAGGGCCACCTCCCCGTTTTGTAGCAGGCCAGAGGCAGGATTGGGACCAAAATGGCGAAAAAGGCTGGCATGTTTTGGCTTGTATCTCTTCCTGCGTGTAACAAAGCTCAGGAGAAAGCGTTCGGAATGGGGGGCAAGCCATGCAAAAACTGGGAATCCCCCAGACAGACGGGGAGGAAACAGGGCATGGAGAAGCGCTCCCATGCTGGGAAGTCGGTGCCGCTCTTTCCAAAAGGGACGGGAGGTTGCGGCATGTCTGTATTTCAGATTACAAGGTGGTGCATACACTAGGGGTTCACTGAACTTGGAGAAGGAGGTGCGGACCGCTTGCCCGAGCAAAGAGTCGGTGGCCGGCCCGGCCGGCGTCCGTTGAGTCTCGTGCACGGTGCGTCCCTTGGAAGTCGGCTCTGACCCACGGCCCTCCCCACCCTTCCTCTTCCTCCAGGCTCCGCCGGATCGACACCTTTGCCTCCATCCTGTGGCTGGTCGTGATGAGCTGCCACGTGCTGGAGAACTACCTGCAGGCGGACTCCCCCGGCTGGCTGGACACCGCCAAGTTCGGCACCACTTCCTTGTGCTGCCTGGTGGCCTTCGCAGCGGCCGTGGCTACGCGGAAACCGACCGGCCAGCGGAGACCCCGGCCCCGAAGGTCAGAGCCTGAACGCTGACTGTGGGGGGGCAGATACGCTGGAAGCAGCTCACGCCTTCCCATTCACGACCGCGGCTGGGGCTTCTCTTTTTCCTTCCCCACCACCACCACCACCACCACCTCTTTGGGTTCGTTTTGTCGCCCCCCTCGCTTTCCCCCACACTTTCTGTGTCTTTCAGGGACTGTGAAGACCCCTCTTTGCGCCTTCTCCCCTCTCCCTGTACCACACGCTGCAAACAAACCCCCCCACGGCCTTCTCAGTCCGCCTTCATTCTCGTCAACACTAAACCGCCTCTTTCTCCCCCAAATTGCTCTCAACTGACCAATCTCTAATCCATGTCATCCATCCTCCTTTTGCTCCCCGTGGGCTGAAAGATTAAATCTGGAGGTCCCCTTTTTCTCGCTTTCAGGTTTTGCACGGTGTATGCATTTGTGGTTTGGGCGGCTCATGCCTGGAATGATGGGTTGTTCTTGGAACACGAGTTCAGTGTTGTCTAGCCCAGCTGAGATAACAAACCAGGGTGAGCCACCCCCCAGTTCACAATCCAGCAACAAACCACGGGTTGGCTGTCTGGGTTGTTCGTTGTTAGCAAGCCATGGGTTCAGACAACACAATAACCTGTGTTTCAACAACAGCTCACGCTCAACCCCTGAGCCTGGGCTATCCTGTCTTCTGAACCCAGTCTGTATCTCACGAGCTGTGTAACAAGCATTATCATAGGACACAATTCTATGCATGTTTACACAGGGGGAAATTCCTACAATCCCGGCTTTCCCCAGCCGGTCACACCCAACCTTTGCAGCAAAGCGTGAGTTAATTTGCAACCGGGTTCCGTACTGCAGCTTCCCTCAAAGTATCCCATAACCTGTGTGTTTTACTATTTATTTTTTCTTTTTGCAAGTGGTTGGAAGTGTCGCTGGCGGGCCACATAGGCTGGGTGGGACCACGCTGCCTGGTGTTCCTTGCTCGGTTGGGAGCCAGCATCACTGAAACAGGATCGAGACAGGTGTAAAGGGATAAGCGTAGGCCTGCTCTGGGTGGTTCTTTCCGTGGCGTTTCCCGTTTTTAAGGTTTGCGGTGGATTTTTTGTGCGTCTGCTTGGAGTGTTCGCTTTTTATTCAGGCATGTATTTTTGGAGTCACGTCATTGTTATAACAACATTATTAAGTTCAGGGCGGAGTTGGTGGGGGGTAATTTTTCCTAACGGTCGTCCTGGCTTATGCTCGATTAACACCGTTCTGCTGCTTGTCTATCCTATAAAGATAATGGCTCAGTTCAGACATCACAGCCCACACTCAAGGGTGGGGTATTGGTTGAGTGTGGTTTTTTGTTGGACTGTGAATTGATTCCTACCCTGCCCTTTTCCCTCTTTTGGGGAATGCGAGGCAGTCCGTTTTGTCTTTAGAACAGCCTCGTAGGTGAAGCTGAGTGTCAGTGACTGCCCTAAAGTGATCCAGACTCAAACCCGGATCTCTTGAGTTCCAGTCCAGTGCTCTAACCACTACTGCATGCTGCCTTTCAAGAGCTGAGTTCTTTTTGAAACATGAGTGATCGTGTTGTCCAGAACCAGCCAAGATATCAACCATAATGAACAACTCACAATGTGGCTATTTGTCTTTAACAAGCCATGGTTTGTTGCCACTGCTGAGTTCTGACAGCATGATAACCCATAGGTCAATAACCACTCACACTCAACCCTTATTGTCTTGTCTGAACCCAGTCAGTGTCTGAAAGCAGGGGTAAATGGGAGATGTTTGGTGTCTCCATTTTTTGATATTTGGTAGATTTTCTAAAAGCAAAATATTACTCATATTCTTATTTTATTGGTAGTCATCGGTATTCTATTTATTTATTTAATTTCCATGCACCCAACTGCCAAACTTCTCCAGGCAGTTCACAGCAATCCACAGTAATAAGATAACGGTAATAAAATACAGCATAAAACACAAATACGATAAACAAGGTGTGAATTTCAGTATATGAAATTTTAAACCATTTAAACAGCCAAAACAATTTCGGGGGGGGGGGGGAACGTAGACCATCATATGCTGTTAAAAACCTGGGAGTAGAGAGTGGTCTTAACCTGGTACCAAAAGGATGGCTGGTGCCAGGAGGGCCTCAGTGGGGAAATGATTCTATAATCGGGGCCACCACTGAGGAGCTCCTGTCCTTTGTCGCCATCCTCCAAACCTCCCTCTGAAGTGGGCACTCAGAAGAAAACCATCATGCTCAGATGCACATGCGCCTTCTTTGAGCGCATGGTCCATTTGAAATGAATCGGTAAAGCCATAAAACAAAAGACTGCTAAGAAAACAATTACAAACGTTGATGACACTATCCTATACATGTTTTAGAAAGAAAACAATTCGTCAGTGCCCCTGTACCTAGTCAGTTTCACCGGTGGCCTGATGCGTCCTTTCTTTGGACCTCCCTCGGAAATAGTCTTAGAAATGTACATGCATCAGAGGAGAAAGCCCCTTTTTGAAGACACCCAAAGTCAAGTCTTTATGGTATGCATTAGTCACGAGGAAGCGCAAGCGACGTGCGCGTCTTGTGTACGGCTTTTCCGAACTGTGCAATGTACAGTTTAGATTTCTCCAATATTTAAGTCTCCGTCCTTCTTTGGGCCATTGGCCTGGTATGCAGAGAATGCGAACGGCCATTGCTGGGCAGCTGAATCCTAGGTTGTTGTGATGTGGGACTTCAGCCCTGCTGCCCAGCCGTGGTTTGTTAGCCACAACCAATCCTGAAAGCTAGCTCAGGGTTTCCTATTGGCGTCTAAACTCTGGGTGGTTTAAACTGTGGCTTATTGTGCCATGGAAACCCGGAACTGTTCGTTCCTGGGTTGTTCCAGGAAGCTAAAGAGACAGTGACAGGAGTGGTTAAAACAACAACAACCAGTCCGTGCCAGTTCTACAGGACTGGAAAGGCATTTGAGGGAGGGACAGGGCAAACGAACAGCTGAAGTAGAGGCGAAATAAACAAGTCAGGGACTGAGAAAGTAAACCTCGCATGACTATCTGCAGGACAAATCCCAGGCACAACTGTCAATCCTAGGTTAAATAAACCATGGGTTAATGTTGCATGAGAACCAGGCCATTGTTTTGCCTCTGGGGTGAGAAATGGCGGGTCCTGTCTCATATGGTTGCGGGTGGGGATTAGCCCAGGCCGTTCCTACATGTTGCGGGCTGCCCCCCTTCCAGAAACATGGCGGGGGAGCTGCAGATTGCATTTCTTCAGCATGGAGTTTCTTAAGCTGCATGTAAGCTGGGTGGGGAATATGCCACATGGGGGAACAGCCTGAGCAGGGAAGACAATCAGTTGGACCGGCTGGTTTGCACCCTACTGAAAAGGCACAGAAAGAAACGGATTTGCCGGGAACTTGTCTCCTCTGGATCCCAGTGTGTTTCCCTTACTGTCAAGAGGGGCTCTGAGGGTTCTCCACCCTCTTTTTCCTTGCGTGTGTTTGTGTCGCTATTCCGTTCTCCCTTTAAATCTTTCCCCGTTTCCCTTCCTTTCTCCAACACCCCCTTCCAACAACATCTCGATCTGTTTCTAATCGCGTGTGCATCTCAGTGGACAAGAACGAGTGCTTCCAACAGACACCCCTTCGCTTTTTTAAAATGCTGTTTTCACTTTAATTTTTAACAATATGCTTTGTACCCCCTCCCAATTTGCAGTGAGTTGAAGGATGCGGATTTGATTTAACTCTTGTTGTTGTGTGTTGCTGCTGTTATTGTTGTCGTATTTATTACATTTCTATACTGCCCTTAACCAAAACTAACTGGGCAGTTCACATATGATTAGTCAATGCACATATATGTAACCAAACTGGGATTATTTATTCTCAAATATTATGATATTTAAATGAAATAGATAGCTCTGTTACTTCCAAAATCTTTTAAGTTGCACACATTAAAAGGTGGGGCTGTAGAAATAGGATGCCCAACCGTTTAAAATTGCTTGTATATCCAACTCAGAGCAAGTAAAAACCGTGGTTTGTTCACCATAAAGAACCCTTGAAGAGAAACCATCGTTCGTTGTTGGGTTTGTGAACTGTATGCCGTTTGGCGCTAACAAACCATGGCTTGTTGGTGCGGCTGGGTTCTGACAGCACGGTAGCCCACGATTCAGCCACAACCGCCATTCACCCCTCGCATTGTCTGAGCCTCTTCTGTGTGTGGTTTCTCTTTCAGTAATTCCCTTGAAGGGGAAACAGGAAGCTCCAGTTGGCGCCGGCTGTCAGAATATTTCTTACGGCTCCACACATGCTTCACAACAAGCCGTGGTTTGTGACCCAGACCACGCTTCACGCTCCCAGACAGACAGATGAGGTGGTTTAGAACTGCTTGCCAGCGTTCCTTTTCCATCTTCCTGCTGCGCTGCTTCATGTGTCCATACACTACTCTTTCTTTCATCTCTGTGGCATGGCAGCCTCTGCACCCAAAAATGATCCCCGATCTGACTGATCCGGGGGCAGGGAAGAAGCTTTTGCAAGAGGGTGAGCCATTGGCGTCGGCCGCGGTTTTCGGTAACGGCAGTGATCAGCGCTTGTCTTGGTTGCTGCCATTTTTCTCCCAGAATGCTGAGGGGTGTGTGGCAACAACCAGGAGGAATTCGGTGTTTTGCCCCTGAAACTTCTGTGCGTGTTTTCTCGTTGTTGTGACACGTAACTGCTCTCGTGGAGGGCCCAGGCGGTCAGGACTCCCGTAGTGGAAAGTCCCACATCCGTGGCAGTTGCTGGCAGCTCACAAAACGTTGTGCTGTGTGTAGATTTGGTTGCCTGTGGACTGTCTGGGGTTTGGCTCCATTATCCACTCAGATTTGGCAGGCGCCCATCCAAATGCGTTTGCGCTCCCGAAAATTTGCACCTTCTCCAAAAATGCCATTTTCCACACTTTAACCTATGTGGGAAATTAACATTTTGGGTCTAATTTATGTATTTGAATATGACTAAAAGTGCATAGCATTGCCAGACCTGTCCACAGAACCCACATGACCTGGGAAAAGCCAGTCCACTGCAGAATCTGCGGGTCAAATTTGTCGAAATGTGAATCCCATGGAATATTGGCGGATTCTTCCAATATCCCAAGCACAGTGACCGCGATGGACACGGGAGGCTTCCTCTGTGTTGCAGATAAATTGGGGACGACCTTCCAGGTGAGGGTAATCGGAGCTTTTTTCTGTGTGTCGGCTCATAAAATGCATTTTGGTGCTAGCAGGGGAAAGGTGGCCCCTTGATGAGAACTGCAAAGTTCCCACGCCTTGATCGGCGGCTGTGGGGGAAGGCTTCTCCCCTGCCCCAGCTTGGCCCAAATTCTCACTGCCCCTGCAGCAGAAAAGAGTTTGTGGATTGAAGTGTCTCCCGCCCCCAGTTAACACGTGTGAATACCATAGTCCAATGGATTGTCTTTAATTTATATTATTGTGAATTATTATTATTATCATCATTATTGTCCTCCATTTTAATCTTTCTTTTTTTTTTTTGGAAAATCTGATATTTTATATAGCATACTTGTGCCTCATTCTGTAGCTGACACACTCCTGTTATTGTAAACACTATTTGTGCTGCCAGATTTTAAAAATAAAGGCCTCCTTTGCCCTACCTTTTTTTGGAAAGTGTTTTGGACTTCCTGGCCTCCTTTTTTGTTGTTTGCTTAATTCTTGCTTTCACCATTCCAACTCCATCTTCCCTCCCTGCAGTTGTGCTTAGCAGACTCAACGATAGTAAACTCGGCAGAGGCTGGGTGACCTTGTTCGGAGGGCTTATTTTGGCAGAGGCTGGGTGACCTTGTTCAGAGGGCTTATTTTGTAGCTAACAGCTCTTGAACCCCTCTGCCTCATGAGTGCTAGTAGCTTGTTCTAAAATGTGAAGGTATTTAGAAAACAAAATCCTCCCTGTGAGCTAGAATCCTTCCCTGAGGCTGCTTCAAACCTTTTTTATTTTTGTTCTGACAAGCACTTAGCACAGCCTTGCAAATAAGGTCTCAAGAGTTCTTTTTGTTATTCTTAGGTTGCTTTCTTTCTCTTGCAAAGAACCCAGCAAAACTTATTAGCTTCCCCCACCCTGAAAAATAATACATAGTTGGCCAAATGGGGGTTAGCAGAGGAAGGACAGAAAACTGAGTTTCTGTGCCAGGCCTAGGGGAGGGACTGAGCATCCTTTTCTTTCTGTAGAAGCCCCTCCATGGGCTGCTCGCCTGCATCAGATTCCTGTTCGCCTCTGACGACTAGGCAAGTACTGAACTCCGACACTGATGTGGAGGCTGGCGTATGATTTATTCATGTGGGTTTTAGCTGTGTATTTTAAAACACTGTTATTTTAAAATGCTACTTCAATGTATATTTGCACTTTTTCTTAACAGAGAAACCAGGTGGTGGGCACTCTCTGGCACTCTAGATGTGGGACTGCAGCTCCCATCTTCCCTGACCATTGGGCATGCTGGCTGGGGCTGATGGGAGCTGGGCTCTAGCAATATCTGAGTGGCCAGTTTCTTCACCCCTGCTCTGCAGTTGAAGAGAAGTCAAACGACTCCCCCCCCCACCTTGTGATATAGGTTGCTGGTTTGGCCCCGCCCCCTTTGCCTTTGGCCCCGCCCACCCTGGGATGCAGGCCCCGAGCATCTCTGAAATGCGCTTTGGCCCTGGAACCTCTTTCGTTGGCGCCCCCCCTGCTTCAGGGCCCAGGTTTCCACCCTCGTCGCCTTGTGGTCCGTTTTTAACCAGCAGCGCAACCTTACGCCTCTACCTCTTTGTTCCCAAGCTGTGGCTGCTTCCGCTAACTGTTGTCCTTTGTGCTCTTGCGGCTCACACAGCCCCCCCGGCCCCACCTGAGCGGCTCTGACAGACCAGAGGTAGGTCGGGATGGGGCACGTTCCAGCGGCGATGCTGAGAGATCTATATATATTTATATTTTGTGGGATGGGACCCCGAATTCAGGGCCGTCCCTGCAGACGCTGCAAAGACATGGGACAAAGACGTGAGTCGGATTAATGAATGCATCCGTGCTATTTGGCAGTATTTATGAATTGCTTGCCGGGAGAGAAATTTCTAAGCAACAGGCAAAAATGCGGAGTACGTTCTTCAGCCGTATATCTGTCTTTATTTCTGCAAAGATTTCTCATCCGTTTTCCAACTCCCCTGCGGTGCGTGCTCTTGTAAAGAGGAGAAAAAGGGTTGTCTCCAAATCCTTTGCAACTGGGAAACAGGTCTGGAGCCTTCCGCATCTGCAGCCAAATATCTCTTCCACCTGGCAAGACCCCACCGTTGTTTTAAAGCCCCGGAACATCTGTTAATTTTCAGTGCATGTTACAATTTTGTCATGGATGAATCATTTTGCCTCTCAGTCAATCGATTGCTTCATAGCTCTGATCTCCTTAAACATTACTGAAATGTCACCCTTTGAAATGATCTGAGAAGTCCAGGCACCAGCTACAGGTATTAGACCTTCTCAAATATTTTTCTTGTCCTCTCCTTCCTTGTTGGAATGATTGTATTGTTTTTAGGAGACCAGCTTTGATACTGGTTAGAAAGGGCTGGCCTAGGGGCAAATCCAGTTTGGCCATTCCACTGGTGGAAGATGTTCCAACACCCACTCAAAATTTGTTCTGGAGGAAACCTTCCCATACAGCTTTTCTGTGCGAAGATTCTGCAGGGTAGAAGAGATGGGAAGAGCATTCCCATCCACTAGCACGATGTTAGACATAAGCCCTAAATGTGTCCATCAATACTCTTAACACACCGGAAGCAAAATAGCTTTCCATTTTAATCTCTCCAGTTTAAGCACAGCCTGGATTTTTACCTGGTGTGTTGACTTCATCTTTCCGTTAAAGCTGTTGTAATAACATTTTGCACGGTTCCTTGCATGGAGCAAGGTGTCTTTCTTTGCTGAGGTCACAAAACACATCCAGAGTGTTTTGTTTTTGACATCAAACTACCACGGAAGGCAAGAGGCGGATTCTGCAGTCCGCACGGGACAATGCTTCTCTGAGCGCAGCCGTTTTTGGTGCAAAGGTGACCTAAAATTGATTTATTAGATTTCTATCCCGCCTTTTTCTTTTTAAGGAACCCAAAGTGTTTGCATCATTCTCCCGCTCTCAATCTTATCCCCACAACAACAACCCTGTGAGGTAGGCTGGGCTGAAAGTCTCTGACTGGCCAAAGTCACCCAGTTGGCTCCATGGCTGAGCGGGGACTCGAACCTGGATCGTCTTTGAGTCCCCGTCCCACGCTTGAACCACTATATGGCGCTGACTTGTGGATGTCAGCAAATTCTGCCCCATCGCTTCAAGTTGCGTTGCGCCTGCTGGACCCTCTGCTGGGGCAACGAGAACTTTCAGCCCCTCCAGCGACCCCAGCAGTGCCCAGGAACCCAGGAGCTCTGCCCGATCAGACCCAAGAGTCTCTCAGCTCCACGCATCCGTTCAAAGGAGTAGAACAGGAGTGCCACAGCCCCTTCCGACCCATGCTCCCCAGCAGCTGGTGTCCATGGGCGAACGAGGTAACATCAAGCATGAGGACTAGAAGCAATTTGACAGCCATGCATTTGCCGAATCCCCTTCTAAAGCTGTCCAAATGGGTGGTCATCTTGGCATCCTAGGCAAGTGAATTCCATCATTTGGTTCTGTGCTGTGTGACAGAGGATTTCATCCTATCCGAAATGATCACCCTGCGACCTCATGGGAGCCCCGGGTTCTAATATGACCAGAGAGAGTAAAAACAGCCTCTAGCCATTTTCTCCACATGGCGGAGGAGAAAGTGTGTACACCTGTCCACATTTCCCATCTGCAGCTCTGCAGATCTGCCTGTTTCCGACTGCTTCAGGTACCGCTCGCTCAGATGCCCCAAAACTCCCAGGCCCACAAACTGCCTTTAGTACTGTGGGACCCACTCACTGGGATGCAGGTAATTTCCTCCATCACTAGGGGTGAATTGCTCTATACTGAGACAGAAAAATATTCTCAACTCTCCTAGCGATGCTGGCTGGAGAGCGCTGAATTATTTTTCTCTGTCTAAATGTGTGTAGATTGTCACCCTTTGAAATGTCTTTCACAGACGCAGCGCTTAAATGCTGTTAAATACATTCATTGGGTCCTCATCCTTTGGCTTAATGCTGTGTGGAAATCAGAAATTTGCTGATGCATTAAAACTTCTCTGGAAGCTTTGTGGTCTAGAGATGGAAGGCTTGGGCATAGGTCTAGCTTTATCCGGACGATATTCCTGACATTAATTTGGCCGGCTGGACATGAGGATCCAAGGCTAAAGGTAAGTTGTTGAAGGAGTCAGTCAACGGAGGTTTTAAGAATTACTACATTCATATTCCAGTCTTTTCTCCTCTTGTAAGAGACTCCAAGCATCAATGATGCTCAGTCCTCAAAACCCTTTGAAGTAGGTTCGTGGCTGGCTTCCCCAAGTGAACTTTATACCGGAGTGGAGAATCGAACACGGATCTCCCAAGTCCTAGCCCAAAATGTCAGCCATTCCCCCACGCTTTGGTCCTGGAAAAGCTCCCAAGCGCCTTGTATGAAGGCAGACGAAAATACAGTGACATATTTTAGCTGAAAGCTCTTGCTGCCAGCCATGAAGTCTTCCAAGAGGCATTTTGTTCTGCGTAGGGCGAGTGAAATTACACATACCAGCAAGCCGGCGAAGGACTGGTGGTCAAAGGAATGGGACATCCTGGGCAAGCCAGTTTATCCCCCAGGCCTGTATCCACCACCAGTGTTTCTGCTCCTTGTCCCATGCAGGAAATTTGGGGAAAGGCCTTGGATTGGCTGCTGCAAAGCCAATTGTCAGACCCTTAAAATGCCGGCAAACACCATGGTGTGACTCTCTCCATCTCCCCATCACTGCCTCAGCCTCCGTTGGTGGTAATTCTCCCCTGGGGCTTGTAGGGAAGGCACAAAAGGAAATTGCCAGTTGAGACATCAAAAACGATTTTTGAAAGAACAAAAACAACAACACAGAACTAGAAGTTTATTGTGGAGGGTAGATAACACTGTAGACATTCCTTGCTTCTTCTCAGTGCAAAATGGGGAGTCCCACGGGGACACCCTTTCAGCGGGATCTGGGTCAACATGTGAGTCTTCAAGAACGGGATCTTGCACGGACACCTCCCCTGGGCAGACAAAGCTTTGAATCCATTGTTAGTCTAACCTTTAGGTCCTATGCATTTCAGTGGGTCTCCTTTTAATAAGAACTAAAATTGGATAGAACCCAATGCTGGTTCCTAAACTTGGTTTTTCCTGATCCTCTGTTATAACCAGATTGTCTTTACATTGGGCGGTGGCTTAAAGGGGAAAAAATCTTCTTTTCATTATGTTGGGGTCTGTCTCTTCTATTCCTTTTCTAACTCTTTGTATAAAGAACTTTGATCTGGGAAAATGCTGGTCAGCTTTAGCAAAGCTGTTGTCTCTCTCGAATGGGGTGATGCTGCCCTACCCTGCAGGGTTGTTTGTAAGGATTTGTGCAATGTTGATACAGAATTTTCAAAGATGCTCTAAAGCAGGGATCCCCATGCGCAAATTGGGGAAATGGCTGCGGGAATTCAGTCCATCACCGCTTTGCGTCGGCCTGGCTGCATCTTGTTCGAAAAGGTTTGTTTCGGGTCCGTCAGACATTGC